AAACTTTTTAATGAGATAGAAAAAATAAATTGTTTATAAATATAAAAGTTTTTTAGTAAAAGTACTTGAAGAAAAATTAAGAATTTAAAAAAAAAAATGTGATTATCATATAGAAAATACGATTTTTAAAAATATACAAAATAAGGTAGGTATCAAACTCTAGTATTACATACATGTATATATTATATATGTAAAAGCAAAAACAAATATGATATAGAGCTCTTAGCTATAGTAATAGTACACAACGTTCTTTTGTGTAGCATGAAATAATAGTAAAGGTAAGATGTATATACGCTGGCGTTCGTAATAGTTTATTAAGATATTTATATAAATAGTCTGCCTATTTATGTTTTTATTGGTATTATATTTAATGAGTATATGTTCTTCATAGAAAAATAAAATATTCATATTGTATTATTATATATGTATAAAATGATCAGATATATTTATTAAAATATCTGTTTATACTTAAAAATATAATATATAATAAATTAAAATTATTTATGTATGTTTTTAATAACGTTATGACAATAATCGTATGGAAATATTTTTCAAATAATATATTATTACATGTATTTATCAAAATTATTGAACAATTTTACGAACATTTATAAGATATACATATGATCTTAACGGATTAACTATGATGATTATAGGATTTATCACAATTTTATCTAAATTATGATTTTTTTTCTAAGATTTTATACAACCTAGTATATTTTTATATTTTATATTTTTATAAAGCAATATTTATTTTAATTCAGCGATAAAGTAATAATTCTACATGAAGTGTTCTATTTTTTATAAAGTACCTAATATATTTATAATTACCTAAGTAAGTTATATATATATATAAAGTTATGAATAATTTATTTATTTATTTATTTATTTTTTTATTCATGTATAATAAACGGGTATTAAACCCTTTAGCAATTAGAAAAAATATAAGTACAGTTTAGCTTATCTTATAACATAATTTGGACACAATAATTATGTAAAATTATTTGTACCAATGGAAATAGTTAACAGCCAAAAAAAAGTAAATATATAGTACAGTAAAAATCATTAATTAACAATAAATGGTTACACCAAAAAAAAAAAATTTAATAAGAATAAAATAATAAAAATAATATTTAAACAAGAGAATTTAAATTTAAAGCAAGATAAACATTTTGTCTGAATACAAAACACGACATAGCAAAAAAATCAACATGATCCATTATACTGTTAGCCAAAGGCAGAGCTCTGGGGAAAAACGAGGTGGAAGTATAATTATTTTTGGAAAGAGAAACATGAAAAAAGTTAGATTTTCTTAATACGTGAGTTTGTACATTAAGACCAATGTGAAATAATAATTCCGGAGAATAAATAAGACCATTTAATAAGTCATATAAGAACATAATATCCGTAACATTTCTCCTCAAATCACAAGACGCGATCCCCAATTGGGAAATTTGCAATTTATATAATTCTCTCGTGATTGGTATATTTAATTTAAAGCATAATAGTTTTAGAAACTTATACTGAACATTTTCAATTAGACTGGTATAAGAAAAATAATGTGGAGACCAGACAATTGATCCAAATTCAATATGAGACCTAACCAGGGAAAAATATAACGTTTTTAAGGCATTGGTATTTTTAAAATTTATCGTGCTCCTATTAATAAAACCAAGCATCTTAAAAGCTTTTTTAATAAAGGTGTTAATATGGATGGAAAAATCCATATTAAAATTAAAGATAATCCCTAAGTCTCTGATGGGAGAAACTCTTGTAACTATAAAACTATCAATCAAATAATTATAGGTGATTATATTATTTATTCTAGAAAATGTTATCACGCTACACTTGTTTATATTTAATTGAAGGTGATTAACACGACTCCATTCAACAAATTTATCTAAATTTGACTGCAACTTTAATGCATCATTTGGTGATTTAATAACTGAAAATAGTTTAGCATCATCAGCGAATAAAAGAATACTAACTGAGCTATCAAAAATAGATGGTAAATCATTAATAAATAATATAAATAAGAGGGGACCTAAGTGCGACCCTTGTGGTACACCAGAGCTAACCAAAAAATCATTAGAAACATAACTATTAATTTTTACCACCTGGGTACGAGAACATAGATAAGATTTTAACCAATTGAAAAATGTACCATGAATACCAAAACAAGATAATTTATATGATAAAATGTTGTGGTTAACTTTATCAAATGCTTTCTGAAAATCAGTATAAATAGTGTCCAATTGAACACGTTGATTTAAGGCCGAAAGGATTTTCTCCTGAAAAAGTAAAATATTAGTAGAAATAGACATTTTGGGTCTGAAACCATGTTGGTTATTAGAAATGAGGGGGGTCATAATTAAAGACAACTTTTTTGTAATTAAAGCTTCAAACATTTTCGGAATAATGGACAAAAATAATATATTTACCATTATAATCGTAAATGTGTTCAGCTGGTGTAAAAAAGTCTTGAATTTCTTGCTTGGTTATGGTTGGTTGTTGTTGAATTACAATATTTGAACCTGAAAAATAGTAATATTTTGGATAGGTACTTGAAAAAATGATTCATCGACTAAATTACATTTTATTTAACACCTTTATTATTATAATATTGCCTTTAGGTAGTATAATGTATATATGTTGTATTAAACATGATGTACGTAGCCTTGATTTTATATATATATTTTATCTAATAAATCTGTAAATAGTTAAAAAATACTTACGATGTTTATCCTTGCTATGTCTGATGAGGTTATCTTTTCGCGTGAATATTTCAGAGCATATATTGCATGAAATCTTTTTGGAAACATCATGTGACTTGGTATGTCTGTGTAGATTTTTAATCATTGTAAAAGTTTTACCACATATACTACACGGGAACATGATTACGTCTGTAGAAAACTGAAGAATACTAGTCGAACTCGCGAAACAAGTCTTTACCCTTCAACGAATAGATGGGTAATGAATTATAGAAAAATTTATTGTACTTTAAATAACAGTGTGAAATAGTTTTATCTGAGCAAATTATTAACGTATGCGCTAATATCGGAACTAGTGGTGGAAAAATGAACTACGGTGTACATTAAAGTAAAATAAATAATTTGATTTTTATAAAACTTGTAAAATATTTGTATACACTTTAAAAACACTTAATAACTCTGAAATAACTCGACTTGACACTTGAACGGCAGTAAACGGATTGATCTCATATTGCTCTGTGCACAGGGCACTATACATTATGGCTGGAATTCATCGACAATACTCGGACGTGTCACTACAGGCTTGTACAGGTCTGTAGTCAGATGATGTTGTTAGGGTGTGAGGACGGGTGGCGGGGTGTAAAATATAATTTAGGCTGGTACTGTTGGTTTGGAATGTCTTATTGCTTATAACTGTGTTTATGTGTGTGTGTGTGTGTTGGAAATATATAAGTTCGAAATGAAAAACTGATGAGTAAGGGATAATATTTTTAGATATGCGTTATGTTGTTACCTTATATTATATTATTAGTATGTATGATATAGTCGATACAATGTATATCAAAATATTATATTTATATTTTTTAAAAGGGTAGGTAATGTATTTGATTAGAAAGGGTAAAATATATGTCGAAACAAATGTACATCAGAATATTATATTTTTTTTTTAAAGGGTAAATAAAAGGGGAGGTTATGTATTTTAAGGGGAATGGGTAAAATATATGTCGGTCACGTGTCGGATCGGGTGGCGTGCGACGAGTTTATGTGTGCCGCGGGTTGCCTATATTGAGTAATTAATACAAGTTTGGGAGGAGGCTGTACTACGAATTGCCTATACAGAGCAGCCTTTGCTTTTACATGTAAAATTTAAGGGGTAGGAGCTGCTGAACATACATAATCATCCTACTGTTTTCGTTTGGGATGCGGCGTCCCGAGAAATTTCCACCATTAGTGGTGTGTTGGGACGACGTTAAAAAACGAAAATAAACGGTTTGTAACTTTATACGTGCCTTTATACCAGAGTTGATTAAAAACATGATTTTTTTAAAAAAATCAAAAAAATTGTTTTAATCGTTTAAAACATGATTTTTTTGTTTAAAACATGTTTTTTTAAAATGATTTTTTCAGCTGTTTTAAACATGTTTAAAACATGATTTAATCGAGTTTAAAACAAAATATGTAATTTATTTAAAAAAAAATCATTTATTTAATAATTTAATATCATAATTTTTTTATAACTTGACGTGTAATTTAACCACGGCTATCGGTTTTACACTTAAAAATCGTTTTTGAATATTTTGATAATGATTGATGATAAAGAACTGATAAAGAATACTGATTACTGTATTTACTATTTTAAATTTTGGTGGGTTTACGCCACAATATTTCCGATTATAAAATATGATAAAGGTAAAAAATATTAAATAATAATATGATATGATATCAATGAAATTTAATTTTGATGTTATTGAGTTATTCTTCTGCATCTGACATTACTAAAATACTACATTAGCGACAGTGTGAAACAAAATAAAACACATGTTCACGGGACGAAGACGTGATGACATTTGGAAATATTATAGTGAAGTTTCTAATAAATAAATAATTAATAAATATATTACCTACAGAACTACAGAAATAATATATTATATAACCATTGAAGTGTTAGTAATTTAAATAAATAAAATTATCATTATGCATTTTATAAATTTTAAATTTGTTTATGAATTAAAAAATAATAATAAATAGGAGTTTCCAGTACGAACTTACAAATAATAAGTTTTATGCGCATAAATTATGATTTTCTGTTTTAAACTAGCTGTTTTTTTTATGTTGTTTAAATCATTTGTTTTAAACGTTTTAAACAAAACCATGTTTGATCAATTTAGATGTTTAAAACATGTTTTAAACAAGTGTTTAAAACAAAATGTTTTAAACATCTCAACTCTGCTTTATACGCTACGATACGCGACGGCGAGGTCCTTAGACGAAAATATAGTTACAAACCGTTTATTTTCGTTTTTGAACATCGTCGCCACACACCACTAATGGTGGAAATTTATCGGGTCGCCGCATCCCAAACGAAAACTTCGGCATAACTTTGTACTTGTACTTGAGCGTTGGATTGTATGCCTGCGGGCTTGGCGATTGGCCATTCATCTCGTTGACCAACAGAGGGTTTTCAATTTTCTTCGGCAGACTATATTGGGGCGCTTTCGTTTTGTATTTGTTTAAAGGCACAGTTGGATATACCGGACCGGGTGATTTGATGTCTATGAGATCGTCGATTTTCTTGGCCAGCGTAATCTTTTTTCTTGACAGTGTTGACGGCAACTTGTAAACGTTGGACCCAGGGTTGTCGGCTCTCTTTAACAAACGTATATATGCACACAATAAGAAATCAACTTTATACATAAGTAGTAAATTATATATAATATACCTACAGGCGAATAATATTATACTAATACACGATAAATCTTATAAATTAAAATATGAAATATGAATCAATTGTGTATTTTATAATATATGAGCATATTGGGCATATGAAAAGTTTAAACATTTTCCCTGTCACAATCGAAAAATGTATGTGTTTATGAATTTCTTTTAATTTAGAAATCTGATTAATCTTCGTTTTGAAATTAAAAAAAGTATACTTTCATGCTAAATATTTGGGGATTTGTGATACACAAATCAGCGTTGACTCCACTCTAAAAAATGAATCATGATATAAACTTATCATTAAAATAGAAGATATTTTTACAAAGTTAGTTAGATTGTGAGTTTCACACTATAGTTGACGTATAGTAGGTATATACCTAAAAACTATTTATTATCGAACTGGGTGTTCAAGACCTGCTATAACTCAAAAAGTACTGTTTTCAGGGAACCGATTTTAAAATTTGTTATAATAAAAAACCATAATATTTTATGTCATGGCAATATGAAAACTCTTTAATGATCAATATTTGACCAATTTTTATTTCGTTCTTAAATTGAAATTGTTTTGAAAAAAGGAAATCAATAATGTTTGTACCTAGTTAACCAGATGTGTCCAGATGGCACACCTAGTAATTTAAAATTAAAATAATTATAATAATAGTATATTTTTGTCGTTACGGGATCCGGGTGGATTATCCGAAACAGCATCTTAGGTACCGGACCCTTGACCGGGACTCTAGGCTTGTACGCCGCTGGTCCCGGGTTGTCCAGATCGCCGTCGAAAGGCAGTTTCTTGGCAATGCTGTACCGTGGCGCCACGGCTCGACCACGGTACGTCAGCTGCGCCAGATTGTACACTGCCGGCCCTGGCCCCTCGGTCTCGTTGCCTAAGTCCAGTCGCTGATGCACCGAGCACGCTGGTGCACCGGTTACGGTTGGCAATCGGTTCAGGCGACCCACCGTCGTCCGGGCCCCGTATGCTGCAGGTCCTGGGCCCTCATTCTCCGTCCCGAATTCGAACACCTTGCGGTCCATGTATTCCGGACACTTTTTCATGATAACGTCGGTTTTAAAATAATTTCCGTAGAAAGTTATTCTCGTTAAAAAGGAGCGTATATTAAAATAATATAGTATAATAATATACACCTATAAATATATTGTAAATACAATAAATAAATAAATACAATGTGTTGACGTGGAAACGAACGTTTACGAAACCAATCGTTTTTTGTATATATATATAGTTACTACGTATTATTATTTTGATATAATATTTCAACAACAGCGAGTAAAAAATTATTCCGTCTTTAAAATATAAACGGCAATACGGGGCACATTAAACGGTTTCAATTCTAATCAATTTAAGTGCGCGCACATTTCACACTATCAACTCCTTGCTGATTAAAATTGATGATGGCGTGAAAAAAAAAAACACTCAATATTTGTAAAGAAACGGAGGGTATCCGGTTACGTGTCTTGAATTTCGCATCAACAACTTCGTTAACAATAACGAAAATAACAATCTCGTGAGAATTTCAAGCACATTAAAAAAAAAAATAAACTTTTTCTGCAAAAAAATTGTTTTTTAAGGAAATAAAAGAAGGGAAAAATAATTTTTTAAAAGAAACGAGTAGGTAGTAGTAATCGTGTATTAGTAGTAGTTTTAATCGATCGTGCGGAATCGCTTCCGAAAAGATGATTAATGATGCGACGACAAAAGGCGAATATTATGGAGAAAAAACATTTTTTCGTTTGTGGTATGTATTGTGTCGACATAAAATGTAATTGATTTAAATTGTTTTTAAGTTTACTTGTAAATTATATGTTGTGAATTGGGTATTTTAACTAATCCTAATGTATTGTGTATTATATTTAGAACCTATTATGTTGTAGTTAAGTGTTGTACGTTTGCCACATAATGCTGACCAAAAATCAATTTATTTAAACTGGGTATAGGTATTACTTGTTCAATAAGTTACTAATACATTATATGTTGTGAGTATTTAAACAAATATTTTAATGTCAATCAATGATTGATTTGATATTTCATATTTTACTTCACCTTTCTAAATAATACTAGAAATAATAACTAAATCCTCATGTATTATGTATTATATTTAGTTTAAATGTTGTAGTTGAATGTTGTATGTTCAATGTAATTAATAGGTATATAATTTAGACATTCATATAATTGAATCTAGCTGGGTTCGAGTCCCAGCTGAAAAGTTTTTTCAGGTCATGGATGTTTTACTTTGTTTTAGATTTGTTGTAACAGGTTACAATTTTACTAACACAAATTAAATGTCAAACACTGAAAATCATAAATAAGAGCGAAAGGTAAAGTATTACTTAATTTAATTTTATATTGTATATATTACAATATACATTATATTTGTACTATTTTCCTTTAATTATTTTTAACTACTTAATTATAGGAATTGTTCTTTAAAGTAAAACATAATAACTTTCTTCAGTTGTATACTTTTTATTTAATTTATTTAATATAACACTCCAAAGGGGTAAAATGAGTATGTCATACAAACATAAATCTAGTAGTATACAAAAAGAAAATTACAAATTAGGTACTAATACAATAGGTAGTTAAAGAACTTTTATAATATTTAGATAGATTATGAACTGAAGCAATACCATTTCAATAATCAAAATTGTTTTAAAAATTAAGATTTATTTCATTCTTGTATGACTGTAAGGCACGGCCTAAAATAGTGTGCAGTACGACACTGTTTGTGCAGTACGAAATCGGAATAGTGCAGTACAAAATGAAAATGTGTGTTGATTATTTTAGTGTTATATTTAGACTTTGTGACTGGTTTTTATTAACTTTTATTTTTTTTTTAGTTTTGAATTTGAATTTTAATCTATGGTTATATTAACTGATAAATTACATGTGTGTGTGTGTGTGTGTGTGATAAAATGCATTGATAATGCCATTGGAAAAAACTAATAATAGCATGATTATCAATTATGTATACATTTGGTCATACTATTTGGTCACCCCATCAACAATTACGTATTAATCGAATAATTAAAGTACAAAATAAATTTATAAAAATGAGCACATTTCGTTGCGGGATTAACCCGTATACTTTTATATCTCTAACTGATAGACGTGTTGAATTTGATGTTACCTTTTTTTACAAATTATTGAACAATGATATTGATGCTCCTGATTTACTGCTAAATTATCTTTAGCCGTTCCTTCTTTTTATTCCAGAAACCCCCAAACTTTTAAAACGAATTTTCACACCACTGACTATGGTTACGCAGCCCCTCTTGATCGTGCTTGTCGATCTATTAATAATATGTCAAATATTGATATTTTTAACGATTCTTTGCCATCATTAATTCTAAAACTAAAAAATTGTACTTGTTAATATTTTCTTTAGCCTATTCTTTATTCGTGCACCAATGTACTTTTTCTTATCTTTTAATATTATGTAATTTCTATTATTATAATCTGTACTAAACTAATGCCTCTGAGGCGTCGATAAATAATAAATAAATAGATACGTAGTAAAACTTATTTTGTGATAAATGAAATATCAGCAAAATTAAATTATTAATTAATGTTTTCTGATTCTAGTCCACCTAGCGAAATATAATATATTATTATTTAGTATAGTACTACACTAGTACACTACTACGGTGCTATGGATCGTTTTGGTGTTAGAAAAAACTGTAAAAACTGCAACAAGATCTTCTCTATCGCCTACAGTAATGAAAGATTCTCTGTATGTGAAAATAAACATGTCAGCTTTAGACGAGTTTGATCCTCAACCACCTGTCTTTAATTGGATAAACAAAAAAAAAGACATTAAAAAATGCATACACATGCAAAAAAACAGAAATGGTATCAATGGGTTTTTGAAGAAGTCAAAGAAAAATATAATTTAACAAATAATATTGAACTTGGAAAAATACAGTTTTAAATATAATTTTAGGTTATACTTTTAATTATTCTATACAGGTGACAGGTGTTATGTTAAATTTTCAAATAAAAAAAAAAAAATTAACTTATATTTTATTTTTAGAGAGGGAGAACTCATATTAAATTATGTGAAATTATAAAATAGTGTAGTACGAAGTTTCATTTATTTTATTCCCTGCAAAAAGTCTAAAAAATACAGAAGCACAGTTCATTTTTATATTCATTTTAAGTTCAAATTAACCTAACTATAAAAAACCTAGAATAACTATTTTAGTTATTTTGTTGTGATTGTATAATATTATTCGTGGGTACTTGAAACTTCTAAAGTAGACTATTATATATCTATCATAGTATCACTGTTTGTTGTTTATGTATAACGCGTTATAAGTACCAAATTGATATTATGATATGATTAATTTGGAATTTATTATAGGTACCTATCATTGGTCAATTTTTTGTTTAATACCATAGATATGTATATAATATGTCTTAAACATACGTACACTGACATACCGTCTCCACTCAGAATCGTTTTTCTTATATAATGATATAATATCATTGAATTCAAATGTAATACCATCCATTATACAGTGACCCACTTGTAACCTACTGTACAGCAGAGTGACACCCACTTGCCCACCTTTTCATATTTTTTATGATAATACTTACTTATTAGTTATTTATAAATGTAAATATATAGGCAATGAACAGTTACGATTTGATTCCTACTTCCATAATCAGTTTCACCACCGCGGCGTAGATGGTGGATCGTGGATGTTAAGTGTTACAAAGTTATTTAATTCAAATATCCAGCTGGATTAAACCTACTTTAAAATCGTTTTTTGATTGTTTTAAATTATTGTATTTCGTAATTTTATTCATTATATTTCTTTGAACCAAAATGTGTTTTGTGTAAGGTATAAGTTCCTATCTATATTATTACAATAAGGAATATTTTATAATATTGTGAATGGGAATAAAATAATAAAAAATATACAAAGATATAAAATATTTATAATTTAATATAATCTAGGTATGATATAGTTTTCAAAATATTTTGGCTATCTAATTATTTTACCACATACGTACGATTACCTTAATAATATATATAAAATACATACACAATATTTTTTTAATATAATCATTTTAAGTTCAAATTTCAACAATATTTATCAAATTGAATACAAATTATTGTTTAGTTAAATTTCATAAAATGTTCGAATTTTATAGCTAAGGATTAAAAATTTAAAACAAGGTTCCACGTAAGTAGTTCATACTGTAACCAGAAAATCTACAAAACATATTATAATCACAGTTTTTTTTTTATAATTATTTGAATTTTAAATTGAACGAAATTATATATTTTAAGTTAAACGAAGAAGATCGAGTCTAACTCTAAACTGTTATGAGTTACAAATATTATTCGTGGCTTCTTGAAATGTAAAGTATAAAGTATATTATTATAGACACAAATAATATTAATTCAATGTGTAGTCGGTACGTATTAATAATAACAATATATAAATAAAATATAAAATATCTTAAGCCGACAAGCTATCTCTGTCTTTTTTTTTTTAAATATATTTATTTTACCTACATAGCAAATATATATTTTGTAATCCCAATAGCAACGAAAACGTGTTTATATTAGGTACATTTATTGCTCACGAAAACTGTTCAATCCGGAAATCTTTATTTTGGTATATAATGTACCTAATAGGTACACGTAATAATATAATGTCTGGTGTATTTATTAATTTGTTTTCCTTTTTTGATTTATAGAGAATATTACCTATGTTATTTTTTCACTTAGTGGCCGATATCGCCAGTCAGGCCATTTGCAGGTTTTCACTAAGCCAACTGGTTGATAACCTAGTCCAAAGTATGTCTATATAGTCGTGTAAATACTGATCGAATCAATTGATTTTTGATCATAATATGAAAGTGAGTGCCAGTCAGAGGAAATCGTTCAATAATAATAATAATAATTCACAGTGTATTATCAAGTGTTGTGTATTCGCATAGTATTATGATTTATGAATACTAGTTCGTAATTTATATCGTACAAAATAGGATCCAATCTCGACTAGGTACTAAAAAACAAGAA